TTTTTTTTTTTTTTTTTAACCAGATATAACCCTTTGATTAAAGTGAGAAATCTGCGTTTGAATTATAGTCACATTAGTATTTTTAGACTCTCTGGGAGCATGTGATTTAGATAATGTTGCCAATTTGAAAACTTCCTATCTAGGTAATTAATGTTTGCTTTAAAAACTGAGGTGAGGAACCAGCTGGATTTCCTTCACATTCACTTGGGGCCAGGAAATTACTATGAAGTATAGGTCACTGTATTTGGGTACTTTGCTACCTTGGGTTCTGTATACTCCATACAAGACAAGAAGGTGACCTATTACAAAAATGTAAATCTTTTTTCCATTGGGATGGGTACCCTATGATCAACAACTTAGGAATCAAATGATCAATTATATAGTGTTTAAAAATAGTACTCAAGCCTGGCTGGGCGTGGCTCAGAGGTTGGACATCGACCTAGGACCCAGGAGATCGTGGTTCAGTTTCCGGGTCAGGGCACATGCCTGGGTTTCGGGCTTGATCCCCAGTTGGGGGCATGCAGGAGGTGGCTGATCAATGATGACTCTCTCATCACTGATGTTTCTCTCCCCCTTGCTCTCTCTGAAATCAATAAAGATATATATATAAATATATATATAAATATAAAAATAAAAATAGTATTCTAATTGTATGAACTTAGCAAACACACACAAATTAGTAGTTCATTACAAAACACTTTTTTTGTAAGACCCCCTCAGTGCCTGAAAATACATTCTTTAACATTTTTATATTATACATTTTCTAAGTACATTTTAAAATATACTGCATTTAGGTATTAGATTAACTTTCACAAAGAATGGAAGGACACCAATACATTTAAAAATAATGTAGTGGAAGTTACTCCAGTTAAAGGTCATTTAGATATTACAGTGAAAGCTTCTCAAATTCTATAGGACCCAGTGAGCGTCGGACACAGTTCATGTACGGGATTCAGTCGTTCATCCAAAGGTCATTGTGATGCCCAGCACTGAGTTAGGGGATAATCCAGAGAAGGAAGTATGTACAGTGAGTGTTTTCTAGAACTTCTTGAGAGTGAAATAAATAAGAATGGGAACACAGTGTATAAAATTTATATTTTGAGGAAGAAACCAGCTTTTCTACATATGAGCCATAAGATAATTAAAATCACTAGGGTATAATTCTTATTACAGCTGTAGAGTTTATGGCCTGATAACTGGTCCCTGTTTCACCACAGAGAGTAGTTCTGGTAACCGTACAGTTCGTTTTCCTCAAATGGGTCCCTCTTTCCCGGGAAGAGCCTTGAATCTACATCCTCAGATTCTCAATCATATTCCTTTGTGAAAGCCCTTCTCTCCTCGTCCCTGAGGTCATTTCTCATTCTTTCTGAGTTAGAATCACATACCAGCCATGCCTCCTGGAGACCACACCCTGGTCGCTGAATTTGTTCGCTTGCAAATTCCCGAACCACCTTGGGGATGGGCTCCAGCAGCTAATGGCTGCTCTTAACTTAGTCCTTCCCACCCCCCCACAATTTCAGTCCAAGAAAACTTCAATTTCAAGGTTGTCAGGTGCCTTGCCCACGTCCCACCGTGCTCCATGAACGGTAATCCTGCAACCTTTATAGCAGTGGCCACACTGAAGCTGCTTGTCTAGTTATGTGCTTGCTATGTCTCCCTGTGGACCATCCGTATCCTGTTCGCCATGTTTCTGGCATCTAACTCCTTACAAGTTTAATTAGATTAATATATTAGCCGACCCACTACTGCATTTTAACAGACTGACAGAAGAGACTGAAGGAGAGTGATCTGCATGTAATGTAAATAGGGACTTGGGCTGGTGGGGGAGGCGCCTGCTTCCTGAGCAGGTGCTGCTCTGAGCTGCCACCCCACCTGCCCCGCTGTCTTGGCATGTCCCTCTCTACAGTGGGTAGGTGAAGAGGAAAGGGCAGAGGAAAGGCTAAGAACAGAGGAGGAGGTGTCTCAAGGGCAGAGGCAGGTAAGCTGGCCACGTTGGGAGAGATTCTTGGGCAGAGCTGAAGGGCCAGGTGGCAGGAGACCTCTGTGTTCTGGCTGGACCTGTTTGCATTGTGGAACAGAGGGAGAGCTTGGCTTAGGGAATAGCTTGATGAGGTCACCTCAAAGGCAGGATTAGTTTGTTATAATAATTGGAAAGGGTAAGAAACTGGAGACATGGAGAATGGGAGGGTGGAGCGTCAAGCGATGTAGGCACAGGTGGCTGATGACAGACCTGTGGGGCAGTGGACTTGAAGGACGCATGCGTTACGAGTGGACAAGCCTGGGCAGTTGGGCACAGGGTAAGAAGGGATGTGTATTAGTAGAGAAATGAGCAAATAGTAAGGTTCTTAGTGTGAAGAGGCTGCTCAGAGTAATATGCTGGGTTAGGTACATGTTGCTAAATATATATGATAGTGCTTTGCCCAAAATGTGCTTCCTCTTCCAGTTCCCCACCTTTGTTCTCCCCGACTCTGCTCAGAATCCTTCCTGACTCCATCAGCCTCTGTTCCCACACAGCCTGGTGTTGACCACTGTCAGGCACTAACCATACTGAGCTCCTGTTGACATGTCTGTCTCCCAGCTACACCAGAAGCTGCACAAGGTCGGTCGAGGACGGTCACTTTCCTGTAGTGCCTCCTAACTGACTAGGTATTCACATGTTTGTGGGGTCTGTCTTCTTGCTGCTTGAGAGTAGCCCCTGTAACTGATTCCTGCTTACACTACTACCATCCGGATAATAAACAGCCATGGCCCTGAAAGAGGCAGCCAGGGTAGTGATGCGGGGGCCCCTCTGCTCTCACACTGGCTTTTATCCCACAGATGTTTGCAGCATCCAACCACTGTATTGTGTTTCCTAAAGATAGTCCTTCGATTTCTCGATATAGTAAGTAACCCCGGGTGAGTGAGATAAAGCAGCCTGGTGTCAGGGTTTAAGTACCTGGGAGCCACCGAGGAGGAAATTGCGCCAGGCACTCGCCCCAGTATCCTACTGGCCTCCCTGCAGAAGTACAGAGCAGTGTGTTCTCACTCGGTCGCTCAAGATCTTTCAGGGGAGATGAAAGTGGGATGCATTAGAAGGAAAGCACTATTTTCACTCTTCTTTACTTGCATTTTTCATTTAGTGAGTGACTGTTAAGTGCTTTCCCTGGTTTGAGAGTTGGGAGGAAGGCATCTCGATGGAAGAAGATTCTTCCTCCTTCACACTCTTCTTTTTAGGTACCTCTAATTCCCCCGAGTCAGTGATGATTTGTAATCAACCTTTATTTTCCTGTTTTGTAGCTGGGGAGTGTTTTGGGCCTTCTCAGCCTCCCGCTCTCCTCCCTGCAGCAGTTCTCACACCCTCTTGCTTGCTCAGGAGGTGGGACCTGCTTTCTTCCTGCTGTGTTCTGTGGCTTCACACTGTTACTTTAAGGAATTCCTCTTTTGGTAGCACTTTCTAGTGTTGTTGTTTTTTTTGTTTTTTTTTGTTAACTTGCTTATGATGTAGGCTCTGGGAGCTGCAGCCCCCAGAATGAGTGCTCCCTTGCACTGCCTCCCGTTGGGTCCAGAGGGGAGCAGGGGTGTCTTCGCTGGGAGAATGGAGAAGAGGGTCCCCTGTGAGCAGTTCGTGTGCATGGTGACAGGGCCAGTGACAGGGCCTGAAGACTAGCATTTGCAGTGGGGAGTGGGCCACAGGTGTTTGTGGGCCGTGGACGTTTTTGGCTGCAGCGAGCCTGCCCCAGGCCGAGTCATAGGTAGCTGGGTGTTAGGGGAGAATGGCACTCTGCAGAACCGGAGGGGGTTAGGACTGTGACCCTGCATGACTCAGATCAGGACTCATGTCCTGGCTCTGTAAATTCTTTTACTGCGTTTTGAAGAATCAATTGGCAAACAAATACTCACACACCTTAACTGGGTGAGTGTCTCAGAAAGAAAATATCAAATGTTGGAATTAGAGATTAGGGGCCTGAAATTTGCATTCCTCCCATAGACCTGTCTTGCAGGTGGGAACAGACCATCCTATGATGCATTTCTGCTTGTTTTCAGGTCCATTTAGAGAGGGGCTCTGGGTTTGTAGCTTGGGTCTTGTTCTAGCAGTGGCTCTCCATCCCTTGTCCACACTCCTGGACACACCACATTCTTCTGCTGTGGTTCCCAGTGACCGGAGTGGGTACTGTTGACTAGAAAAGCCTCCCTTCCTCCCTGCAAATCGCTGATATGCAGTAAGATCAGGGCCCTGAAGGTATGCCAAGGTGATCAGTAATTGTAGTTTGGGAAACTGTCTTTGGATTTTGTTGGAGAGCTGCCCCGTGCAAATAATCCATGAGTCAGTCCATCTTTCTAAGTTTAGTGACTGGCCATTCAGGCTCCATGCACAACCCCTTTTTCTGAATGCAGCCTATCACTTACTTGGGCTGGAGGCCTGCTACCACGAGCGGCCTCAGAGGAGCTGACAAGCTGGGCTAAGTGTCTGTGCAGCTGATTTCTTAGTTTGCTGTGTGGGGTTGGACTCCTGGTACTCCTGGAAGGAGCTAGGGTGACCTGTTGTGAGACTGGATTTGGATTAGAAGCTCTCCTCACCCACAGTGTGACCTTTTGTGGCTTCAGTTTCCTAATGTGTAAAGGGAAGGGGTTGAACCAGAATCCTATGTTTGGTCCCTTCCTGTCCCAGCTGTGAATTGCTGGGGTTGGAGGTGGCTACGGGAGGCCTTTGCAGTCCCACAACTCCATTTGTCTTCTCTAGGATCTAGGTTCTTTGGCTTTCAGGACTATTTCAGTAAAAATTGCCAGAGAAGCATAATCATGTCCAGTGAAGTGTAAATATTCACACATTCAGGCACACCGCCCCTTCATAAAACAGGAACCTGTCTGTACAGGAAGCACCGTGCTCGTTGTCTGGGTTTTTCCTGCAGCGCTTGCCACCGTCAGCTGAAGAGACAGGCTCCTGGAGTAGTTGTGATAATGTCACAGGGATGAGAGGAGCCTGGCACCTCTGGGAGACCCACTGATATGTGACTGCCCTGCCCCTCCCCCTCGTTTTTGAACCTGTTCTGTTAATGATTGCACCTAATTATGTATCGTTGGGCTTTTCACTGTTTACCATTCAAATGCCCCTCAAAGCTGATTGTTTGCTTTTGTGTGCTGTAAATCCTGGCTGCTTTCTGAAGCACAACTTGATGATTGTGTATTATCATCCTGGGTTAAGTGCTGTCTCATTGCTTTGCAGGCTGCCTGCTGTTTCCCTGGGAGATCATGAAACGAGGTCGCCTTCCCAGCAGCAGTGAGGATTCTGACGACAATGGCAGTGAGTCCTGCTCTGTTGTTCTTGGAGCCCACTAGGGTTTGGGTCAGTGTAGAAACAGGATTTTTTTAATGTAATGCTTTAAACAGCCAAGGCCCTTCACCTATCGGGCAGGTCCTGCCTGTTGCGCAGGTCCTTGAGCTCTGAGGCCCGGAGAAGCACATTGGGTGATACTGCAAGTCTGTAGCCACGTGTCTTGGGTGAGGGGACTACACACAGGCATTCCTCAGGCTTCCTGTCTGTCACCCAAGGATGAAGAATCCAGTTCCACGAGTCATTGGTGTGTCTGTTTTTCCTAAACATCACTTATGGCATTTCGCAGTTGCTCTTTACGAGAAGGGAACTTCATCGAAACCAGTTAATTATTGAACTAGTTCGGCCCGGTACAAAGGGAGGTTGAGGACTGCCTGGCGTGACGTGAAAGTGCTCAGTACAGGTTTGCAGTAGGTGACGAATCGGCGCTTTGCACTGGATTTCACCGTGACTGTATTCAGTACGGCTGCTGCCTGCGTCGCAGCTCGCTGGCATCCTCATGTTTTCACAGTGCAGCTGAGAATCAGAAGTGAGCTGGCTTCCAGGCAGTCAAAATAAATGTCACACAGCATCTGTGTATTGAGAGGCTAACAGACTACTCCGGGAGCACCCCTTAGATAACAAGGGAATTTTGTACCTAGCACAGTGCCTGAGCCTCCAGCCCATTAGCAGATGTATTACATTAGAGATGAAACGCCGGAAACCTAGAAAGAATGCTTGCTTTCCTGTGTGATGGCAAAGGTATTGGGCCACCTTTCAGGGAACTCTGTTAGGTATACATAAACTCCAGCTCTGATAGAATCTCGGGTCGTGGTAGAGGTGGATGTCCCCGGTGCCCTGTGCACACAGGTGGACCCAGGCACAGGTTCACAGGAGTGGAGGGTGGGGGAGCCTGGGGAGGAGATAGGCGTTAGGTGGGTACTGAACAATGACATAGTTTTTAGGCAAACAGGATTGTTTTGGTTTTCTGGTCTCCCAGTTTTCAGTAGATTAAAAGCTGCAAATTAGAAAGCAGTGCTTTGCTGCCTTGGGGGCCACACCGACACCGCAGAGAACATGGGAGGGAGGGGACCAGGAACATGCAAACAGAGCTCAAACACAGTGTTTGGTTAGTGCTGTGGTCCAGTGGGAAAGTAGAATTGGTAGCTGTGGGAGGGGTGTCGGTGTTTGGGGGTGTTATAAGGTAAGCTGTGACCAGATGGGGAAGCAGCTGAGGGATTGGGACTTTGGTGGCAGACAGTGGGGGTGCTGCTGTTTGGTGTAGTGAGTACATGGGAGAGGGAAAGAAAGACCAGGAGTGGGGACTCCAGAGAGGGTTTTCCTTTTATTTCAGGGAGAACTAGTGAGGGTCTGTGCCCAGGTGCAGGTATTAAAACCACCTGCCCACGCCTTCACGGTGCCTTCTGAGCTTCCTAGCACCTGTCACCTCGCGGCCCTCACTACCTGTCTACTCTAAAATGTGCTTAGGCTTTTTGCTCTGTGAGGCAAAAACATGCTTAGGCACTTTTCTCTGCCCTCTGTGGTGCCTGTCAGAGTGTCCTCAGGGACTCAGTAAACGCTTTCAGCTTGTGAAGCACAGAATTTAATCCTACAGCAATTTTAAAAAAATCTTGCTTTTTGGGTACAGAGTTAATCAGAAGGTGGTTTCATGAATGACCTCCGCACACTAACTGTGCCCAGTAGAAGGCTGAGTGCCTCGTTTCGGGTTTCGTGGGCATTGGGCAGCAGGTTGATGCCCACTGTGTTCTCATCACTGCCTCAGTTTCTCTCCCAGGAGAGCCAGGTTCAAAAAGGTTCTGGAGTGTTCTCCCAGAATTAGAGCCTTCCCCTTTCTGGACTCGAGCTGCCCAGTAGGAAATGCTCTAATCTAGCGTAACTGAGGAAGAGAATGGTAAAATTTTATTTAATTTCAATTAATTAAAATTTAGAAAGCCACATGTGGCTAGTGGCTACCATTTTAGACAGTGTGGTTCTGGACTTGGGCCCCATCTGCTCCTTGGCTGTCCAGAGGCTCCCAGTAGCCCCAGAGGTCCTGTGTCAGCCAGCTCAGGCTGCCACAACAAGTACCACAAATTGGGGGGCTTAAACCTCAGATACTTACTTTCTCACTGCTCTAGAGGCTGGAAGTTCAAGATCAAGGGGTTGAACAGGTCTATTGTCTTTCTGAGGGCTCTCTCCTTGGCTCGCAGGTGGCCGCCTTCTTGCTGTGTCCTCCCATGGTTTTCTTTGTGAGTGCACCCCTGTGTCTGTGTGCCCCAGGGTTCTCGTCTTATGAGGACACCAGTGAGACTGGGTCAGAGTCCATCCATAAGACCTCATATAACTTAATCACCTCTTTCAAGGCTCTGTCTCCAAATACATCACATTCTGAGGCACTGGGGGTCTGGCTTCAACATGGGAATGTTGGGGGACACAATTCACCCCCTAGCAGCCACAGTAGACTAAACGCTTCACCTAAACAAGCACCCCACCCCATCCCTTCCCAAACTCTGGTTAAAAATGAAGGAGGAAGAGAGCGGCCAAAGTCCCCAGCAAAAGTATGTTCATCACAGGCCACCTTTTTGGTGATGGGCTGTTTTCTTTCTCCTGATGTGCTCATGTCCATGCAGGGGGCAGAGGAGTCAGGTCAGTATTTATAGGGTACTGGGGGTTAACTAGAGAGACGACCAGGCTGGGTTCTCCCGTACCCTAGGCTAGATGGGGATGAGATGGTAGTTGCCAGTAGGTGGGGGCGGGGAATGGGCAGGCTGGCAGGCTGTCCTGTGTCAGGCAGCTGGTTTGGTGTAAAGCACGTGTCGAAGCCTCAAGGCCCAGCTGTCCGTCCAGGCCTCGTGTTGGGCAGGTATGATGGATGGTGGTAGCAGTGAGAACCCTGGAATGCCCAGCCTTATAGCATATGCACCTCTCACCCACGGAGCCACCCCTTTCCACCTTCTCTGAGGGCAACTACTTCACCAGCCCACATGCACTGATGCTGACCGTCCTTTTGTGGAGTGGGGTGCCTTCTGCTGCTGCATTCAGGTCCCCAGGATCGAGCCCTCCTGCAGCCAGTCTGGCTCCTTGGAAAGCCCTGCTTGCAAGAAAGGCTGGGTCTGCAGTGGCCACTCCCCAGCCTCTCCAGCCTGCAGCCCTGACAGAATTTTGGCAGCAGCTCCAGCCCAGTGCAGAGCGTGTCCAAGTGGAGGAGAGGGAGCTGCGGACGTCAGCCTGGGGCCGCAGCACCAGCCGCAGGCACGCCTCGCCCGCTGGCCTCGGGCTGGAGCCGTGTCCAGGGAACTGCAGCATGGTATTTACAGTGGGGGACAGACGGACATTTTCTGTGCCAGTGCGGGCCCTTCTCCAGCTGCGGTGTAGCTACCCAAGCCTCTCTCCAGGTGCCCTGGAGGGCCGGGTCTACACTTGGATGGAGTAGTGCTGGGGTGTTTGTAGGCTGCGTCTGTAATTGCTGGGCTCCTGGGGCCAGGTGGCCCAGCCAGTCTCTGAAGTTACACATTGTGCCAGGGTGTGGCCAGGGAAACAGGCCCTTCATTTCCTGCTTCCCTGCCCAGGATCCTTGGTCCTTGGGGGTTTCTGCAAATGTGCGAATGGGGTCCACCAGCTGTTTTCAGTATTTCCAAAACCTAAAAGATATTTCGTTTTGTCTGTAATAAAGCTGCAGAGGCTCATTAAGACATCAAGTGTTCTTGCTTTTGGCAGGAATTAAATATATTATTGGTTATATCAGGTCAATTAAAGCTCTGATCAGCATCCTTATATTTTTTTTTCCTATAAAAATAAGACAAGAATTAAGTAATAGTAGGTAAAGAATACTGTTCATTTGGCAACTTTTTTCAACACATGGTGGCTTTGGCTAGGAGAAGGGAGCCAAATGTAAGTGGTGTTTTGGTTTTTTGGTTGTTTTTAAATGTGCCTCTGAGAGACCCAGAGGGAAATCGGTTCCTTTACTTTCCACAGAGAGGAAGTATGCTGAATACTTTAAAGTTTTTCCTAAGGTTGTACGGCAAGATTTCCTTTTCCTGCCTGACAGTCCTAGGTTTCAGGGCTGTGTTGATCTCCTTGTGGGAAGCCAGCCTGGGCATGGCTAGGGGTTCTGGAAGTAGGCACCTGGTGGGACCTCCCTGGTCTCCCAGTGTCCATACCTGTGCTGGCCAGGACACACTCCTGTCTAATCCAGTTCTGCAGCCTAGCCCAGCTCCACCTCCTGTCATAATGGGCAGAAAAGAGAGCCGAGTCAGATCCAGACCTACTAATTCTGCACCTGCTAATGCAGGTCGATGGCTGGCAAGCATGAAGTTATGTGGGGACTCTGTTTTTCTGGGCTCCCTCCAGCTTACAGACAACAGTGAAGAGACCATCATTTTTAGTGGATGAAACATACTTTCTGCTTCTGTCTCACTGCATTTAATGGATTCCCATCCATTTTTTGATAACTTGTCATTTTCTAAGTTTGGCCCGCTGTGCTTGGTCACCTCCATGCACGTTTCGGTGGTTTCTCTTTTGCATAGAAGTTAACTCTGTCTCCGTTCCTCTTCTGCTTGACTGTAACTTTAACTTCCTCCTTTTCCGCGTGAGTTGCATCGGGCGACACACTGGGTAGTTGAATAGGAATCCTTGAAATGTGGGCATTTGGCTGAAATACTGCAGAATATATACTGAACCCATGTCTCCTCAAGGCACAGAGGTGGCCTTGCCCCTTTTTAAACCCAACTTGTGGTTTGACTGTGACATTGATGGGAAGGGCAACATCTTGGGCTCGGGGAGCCACTGGCACAAAAAGATCCTGTGCAGGGACTAACCTCTGTGGCCTTTGGCCTTGGACCTCAGCAGGAGTGACTGTGAAACAGACGTGTGTGTCCGTTGGTGAAGGTCCCAGTGTAGTTAAGTATGTGGGGACAGTCCTGGGCCAGTTCTTCGAATGTACGTATTATGCTTCTGTATTGGAAGTTGGAAGGGAGTTGGGCCACGGAGCT